TTATGGTAAATAGTAATAGTTAATTTTACGGAATAAAAACCATTTAGGATACGTGTTATTCTTTTTGTTTTAGAAGGTTTTAAAAACGCAACAGAAACCAAGCGTAACTATTTTCTGAGTTGTGCCGGCTGGGAAAGTTCTTTTTTGGTCGGAATTCTAGTATTTTTTGTAAAAATTGATAGAAAAATTGTGTTTCAACAACTATATATAGTTAAATAGGGTAGAGGGGGGCATATAAGGAAAATTAAGAAACAAAAGTTAAACTAATCATAATTAACATTGTTTTCTAGAATTTTCCTAAAATTTATTGATATAAGAAAAACAAAACAAAAAAATACCCAAATATAAGCAATGACAACCAGAGTAACGAAACTCTAGATTAGTCGAATTTCTATATTTTGCAAATGAGCGGGGCGAAGCGGGACATTGAAAAAGCAGAAGTTATTCGTTCATTGCAAAGCTTTAAAAATGATTAAAAATGAAAGTATTTTATCATTTAAACTTGTTCAGGCATTAAAATCTTAAAAAAAGTAACATGCTCATACAAATTACACGTCCATACACAAAAAATTAATAAATAAACCCACACACACACACATACATACACACACACGCACACACAAAATAACAACTAAAATGAAAAAAACTTTTTGTATTTTATTATAAAATATTCTGAGACAAAGAAAAGCTTCGGAAATTGTTCTAATGTTTAAGTTGGGCAAAACTAGTATATATTATTAAATTGGTAACTACTAGCAAATCTAAAAACAACAAATATTATGAATTACATAAATCACAAAAAACATTCTGAAACTATTTGGTAACATTTTTGATGAGCTGGCTTATTAGCAATATGCCGATGTAGAGCAAATTTAAATATATATATCAAAAGCTTTTCGAATTCTAAGTTCCTTTTTATTCACAGCTAAAACTGCAATTTATCCCATTTTGAATGATTGATCTTTCTTATATAACTTCTACCTTAGTTGTTTACATTAAACACTATTAATAATAGAAGTTAAGTTATAAAAATAACAATTCCTTTAAATTTGCTGCAAATATTGCTTTTCTAAATAATGAAATCAATATTTTAGATTAAAAATAAAGTCATCAAACTGTAAACAAAACGGTAGTTATATAGTCAATTATATAAATAACTTGTTGTCCTGACATGCCCCACAAAAGTCATTTTACTGAATTTAAAACTATTCGAAAAGTTCAATTCCACATAATTTTTTAAAACCAGATTTTAAAAGAGAATAAAAAATACTCTCTGAAAAATATAAACTTTTTATAAATAAAGCAAATTAGCGATAGTTCAAGATAAATCTTTTGTCGTTGCATCGCTCAAGAAAATACGCAAATTTTGTTTTTCGCAAACCTAAGGATGCATTTTTGTAATTTTAATGCATTTCGGTACTTCTAAAATTATTTTTTTTTTTACAATTATGAAGCACGATAATTTAAAATGTTTTATCAAAAAAAAAAATTTGAAAAAAAAAATTTTTTAGTTGAGATATAAAACTTCAGGCATAACTGTCTCGTTATGCCCCACTGTCCCCATATGCCTTGCTCTACCCTACGTCAGAACCGATTAGAACTAGAATCAATAGTAAATCAAGGAACTTTTTCAAAAGGTTTAAACTAAATTTATGTTAACGTCGATGAGCGGAACTGATGTAAAGACTCCAAAATGGTGTTCTTTAAATTCACTATTAAATAAATTATTATTAAATTCACTAGGGTAGTAAAAAGGTTTTTGAAAATTCTATAAAAAAAAATAAAAGTTTATTTAAATATTAAAAAAACCTGAAGCAAAAAAAAATTATTCCAGGTAAAGCTTTTGTTTGACATAATACGCTGATGAAATCATGCTAATTTTAAATTAAAGTATTCGAATTCTAAGTATTCGAATAATTTGTAAATCGCCTTAACTACACCAACCAGCAACCTTTTTCACTTATCTCCGTTAAGCTTAACGAAGCTTTTGTCTTAAATTTCATTACTTTATTATTTAGCAAAATGATAAAAACTAAAATTAAATTTGTTTAAATAAAACTAATACTAAAATAAAACATATAAGTTAAAAAATTATATATATTTAATTTTTCTATTAATGTTTGACTAACGCTCAGACGTTAAGCTTAACGAACAGATGAGATTATTTTTATTTTTTTATAAGCGTTGTATTCTATTCAATTCTTTACTTACGAATATTGTAATGAAGTTTCAGACAAAAGCTCCGTTGAACGGAGAGAATTGAACAAGCTTATTTTTGATTTGTCTTATTTTTTTTGGAAAACTTTTTTAAGTAAATGCGTACCATTTTAACTATCGTAAGATTACTAACAAAACGATAGTTCTAAACAAATAACTATGCACATTTTTTTTTTAATCATTACTCACTCTTTTAAAAAAAAAAAATTCTACAATTAATCATGAGCTACAAAAATGAGTGGTTTAAAGCTAAAAAATTTTCCTTAAATATCCTCAAAACCAAATATGTTTTATTTCACAAACCAGCTAACTTCGTTTAATTTACCACTTCAGCTTCCCCAGCTTATAATCAACAGCATTAATATAGAAAGAGACCATTCAATGAAAACCCTGGGAATAATTTTTCAAGAAATTCTTTTTTGGAAGAATCATATTTTGTACATCGAAAATAAAATCTCCAAGTCAATCGGCATCATGCATAAAATAAAATACCTAATTAAAACCTGCTTGAAATATATATATTATCGTTAATTCACAGTTATATAAATTATTGCAATATCGTTTGTGCAAGCACATACTTTTCAGTACTAAAGAAAAAATACGTAAAAGAAAAGCAGTGCATCGAATAGTATGCAATACTAACAGATATACCCACGTCAAACCATTATTCAGGGAAATTGGACCTCTAAATATTTATGAACTCAGAATTTTTCTTCCAAAATTTATTATTTATGTTTCAATCGCAAAACAACTTGCTACAAAAATACTTTGAAAACAATTTTCCACCATTGATCACAAATACCCAACGAAGTACTCTTTTCAAAACTTTGAAATTCCGAATACTTTACTTAAAATAACTGACTTCACTATTTTATCTCTAGGACCCTGGTTAAGGAATTCGAACTTTAAAGAGGAAATAAAAAACATGAAGTCATCAAATCTCTTTAAAGCAGCTGTCAAACAGCACCTATTTAACTGAAGTGACGTCAACATACTCTCCTATTTTTAAAGATTAAATTAATAACTAACTAAAAACAATTTATCCCTTTTGGATGACTACAAGCGATAGTTATATCACAATACAAATAGTTTTTCTTTTCTATACGTGCAAGGCTTGTTTTAATTTTTACGTTATTTATAAATGTATACATATAAATATACTTATATAAATGTATTTAAATTAATTGTGTGTAAAATATATAGTGACGAAATAAATTACAAATAATAATAAAAAAAAAATCTTTCGTATTTTTCTGATAAATTTTTAGTAAAATTTTAATTTTCGTGAAATGTTTTGGGTTAACCAAGATAGGGTTACTTCAAAAAAGTTACGTAACCGTCTCCTAATTATTAAACCTTCTTAACGGTAACGGTTGTCTTTGCGTTCTTGCGTGTAAAAATATGCTTCTAATCAAATCCAGCTTTCAGCTTAAAGGAGCAGAAATTTTTCTGTAACAATTGTGTTGTATTGGAAAAAAAATTTCTATAATTATTAATAACTTCATTAAAAAAAAACTAATAAGTTAAAGGCGCCCATGCCACACCAGCGGTACCAAACACATTTAAGTTTGTCCAGTGCAATCTCGTAATAATTACTCATTAACTTAAAAACTATTTTTAAACCAAACAAAAAAATATTAATTATAATACTTGTAACCAAAAACTAAAAAAAAAATTCTAATGAACAAAAGATTTGACTATCAAAACTAGACATGAAGTTGTATAATTAAAAAAAAATTATTATATCTATGCAAAAATTAAAGCATATCTAAAATTATTCCATTAAATATCTTTAGTTTGAAAAAAACTTTAAATATTTATTTGTATTCAAAAGTAACAGTATTAGTAATTGCAATAATATTTTTGTATATCATCACCCCGGAATAAAAGTGTCATATCGAAAATTTATTAAAATTATATATAAATATGTAATTATCTAATTTATGTAAATTTAAAGTTATTAAAAAATTATTTTAATATAACGTTATACAGAAATTTTTTTATTAACATAATGTTAAGCTTACATAAATTAGATGTTTATATATTTGAATATAATTTATTAAATTTTCGACACTTGTATTCCAAACGGTACACCTCTTGTATTCCGAACGAAATGTAAATGCGTCGCTCCGTACCAGCGTTACCAAACGGGTTTGAGTTCGTCCGTGCAATCTCATAATTAATATTAAATTACTAAAAAATTAATTCCCAAAAGTCAAATTTTTCAATTATGAGCCTAATGGTTTACGGACTCGAATAAAAAATATTTGCATAAAAGGCTAAAAAACACATGTTTTCGCTTTAACGACAAAGTTGCATTTCTCAATTTCTATACATATACTAATATTAATAAATTAAGCGTTTTATAAAACTTATTTTTATTTAAAAAGTATTTTTTTTAAATAGTTTTAAAAAAAATTTACAAAATTTGTTCATTTATTTCAGTGGTTTTCAAGTTAGGTGATAATACCCCCTGGGCTTAAACACAATCAAAATGTATTTAATGAACCCCCTAGTTTGCAATCAGCGACGATTAAAAGTCAGAGGTGAAACATCAAAAAAGACAAGAAGGTTACACCTAGCTAGCAAAATTTTTTTAAACCTTTTTGAAAAAAGAAGAGAATATGACTTAAAAAACTGCTCTTAACATATGCCATCTGTTGTTATAATTAAATTATAGATTAGAAGCATATTTTTACACACAAGAAGACAAAGACAACCCGTACCGTCAAGAAACACGTGTCACGTGACTTTTTAGAAGCCACTTTTTAAAACAGCCTTACCCAAAACATTTCACGGAACTTAAGATTTTACTAAAAAACTTATTAAATTCTAGTCAAAAGATTACACCAAATGATCAAATTATTTGTCAGTTCTTGTTTAGCAGCTTATACTATCTTATAAAGAATTATTTACTCACTGATTGCCTTTTTCAGTTTATTTTAATAACATTTGGAATAATGAAAAAGACATTCAGATAGCTGCATTTTAATACGATGCTGGAAGAGTATTTCAGATAATATAAAAGATTCTTGTGAAAATAAAACCAAATGTTAGTGAGTTTTTATCTATGTTTAAACAATTATATATATAATATATATATATATATATATATATATATATATATATATATATATATATAATTGTGTGTTTATACATGTAGGGGAGAGCAGGTAGGATTCGTACAGCGGGAGCATTCGTACAGTAGGCATATCTAGACCACTCTTTGTTTTGACACATTTATATTTATGTGTGTGTGAAGACCACTCATGCACAAAGGCTAACAGCTTAATGCCGTGGTAGTGCTATCCTAATCGTCATTGGAACAAGTCGATACGTGTTTTTGCACTGCTAAAGTAATTTTACAAAAAATCTTTGAAAACATTTATTTGTAATAATTTTTGATCCAATTAATGAAATAATTTATTATGCTTTTTGTATAAGTGTCTTATATCTAATCTATAGTTTTCTAATAACCTCATCCATTATTTTTATTTTGAATTTAAATGTTAGTTGATATGGTTGGGGTACATATGAAAAAACCTGAGCAGCCTTTTTTTCGCATTTAAACAGACAGCCGTAACTGATTTCTAGGAGAAATTAGAAAAGCTTTTGAGAAAATATGTATTCTATGCATATAGGATATATAATTTTATTTTTATTATGTTTAATATTTATTTTATTTCAATTTTAACCTTAATAAATGTTTATTTTCAATAAATATATTTTTGACTTAGTAATAAAGTACCGAACAAAAAACTGAACGAAGCTACCCCGCATTTGGGGTGCATTCGTACGATCTCCATTTTTCTGCAAAAGACGTCATAGTACTGTCTTGTTAGCTTTTTTCAAGACTAAACTACAATATTATTAAAGCCAGATATTTAGGTTACTCAGCAGCATTAAAAATTTTCTAAAATAGCAATTATTTTTGCTTTTATACAACTTAGTGTAAAAAGTGTATGAATCCTACCTGCTTTCCCCTATATATATATTATATACATTTGAGTAATTTTAAATGCATTTTACAAAAGATGAGTATTCTTAAAATAACAGAGCAACTAAAAACTAAATACAAATTTATTAAATAATTTTTTTTTATTTAGCTTTATATGATTTATACTGAATGTAGGGTATAAAGTTAATAAAAAAATAAAATTTGACATTAGTGATTTATATACATTAGTGATGTACCGATATCACTTTTTTAGCTGATGCCGATGGATGAGAAAATACAACTTTAAATCGATACTGGTATACAAATACTTGGACCCAAATCAAAGCCAAACAATTATTTTAATCTTTGTTTATCAAGGTTTGTGTTTCCAAGTTATAAAAGAAGCCTCCTCAATAAAAGTGGCCTTCGTAACCTCAGGGAGGTAAATAGAAATAAAAAAATAAAAAATTTAGAAATATACTTGATACTTGGCTATGTTTAAATACTTGAATTAAGGCTGAACTATTTGCAAAGAAATTCTCTTCCAATCTGACTCTCAAATCATATGACCTTTCTCTTCCTTCCATTCTAATTGAACAGGTTTACCCATTGTTAGACATTCAAACTACTTCAGCTTCCATTGCTCATAGTCATATCTCGATTAAACGCTTCTACAGCTTGTGGTCCAGACAACATTCCTGTCACAGTCTTGCAGAATTGTTCTCCAGAACTTTCTTCAATTCTCCCTAAACTATTTAACAAGTGTTTGACTGAGTCTTGTTTTCCTGCTCGCTGTAAAATGGTATCTGTTGTTCTATTTTTTAAAAACTCTGGTAAACATACTGACCCCTCCAAAATCTGTCCAATCAGTCTTCTTTCTGTTATTAGCAAGGTCTTTGAGTGTTTGATAAACATATTTCTCACATTCCAACTTTCGTCAAATAACTTGCTGTCAGACAACTAATACGTGTTTCAATCCTCTCGCACTACAGCTTACTTGCTAACTGTTGTGACTGAAATATTTTATCGTGCATTAGATGGAGGCTTAGAGGCTATTGCTCTAGACATATCTGAGGCTTTCAACAAAGTTTGACATTTTGGTCTTCTCCATAAGCTTGTTTCATATGGTGTATCTGGGAAATTTTTGAGATTATCAAATCGTTTTTTTTATAACAACCTTAATAAAGTCATCCTCGAAGATCAACACTTTTTTTTATTTCCAGTAACTTCTGGGGTACTTCAAGGTTTTATTGTTGGTTCTGTTTTATTACTTATCTACATTAATGATCTTCCTGACAACCTTACATCTAAAGTAGCTCTTTTTTCTGATGACTCAACTTAATACTAATGTCTTGACAAAAATTCTTCTTCTTTTTGCTTAGAACAGACAGCCCATCTTGTATCTGATCTCACTTCTTTAACTGATTGGGGCTTACTGTGGCTTTTAAATTTAAATTCCAACAAAACTCAGTTATTTACCTCAAATAACTGAGTTTTGTTAACACTCCTATTTTAATGATTGGCAACCCTCTCACTGATTCCTCTTCTTTATGTCTTCTTGGATTATCATTTACTACTGACCTTTCATGGAAACCATATATACAATTAATTGCTAAATTAGCATATGCTAAGCTGATTCCATTCTCTACCTCTACATTTCTTATTCGTCCCAGTATGAAATACTATAGTCATATTTGAACTGGTTGTTCTAATAAGGCTCTTTCTCTTCAAGATAAGGTTCAAAAACGTATTGTAAACAGAGTTCAACAAAGTCTATCTGCTAAGCTTGAGCCTCTTTCCCATTGTTGTAAAGTTGCATCTCCTTCTCTTTTTTGTAAATACTATAATTGTTGCTGCTCAAAGGAGCTTTTATCTCTAGTTCCATCAACCAAAACTCATTCTTGCTTGACTTGTCATTTATCAAAGTCTCATTCTTTTACTGTATCTGTCCTTATGCTCCAAAAACCAAAAACATTTATTTGTCTAGCTTATTTCCCAGCACTTCAACCCTTAGGAACTCTGTCCCATCTTCATGTTTTCCTGACTCATAAAACCTTCAACTTTTTAAGTCTTCTGTCAACCGTTTCCTTGCTCTATAACTCTATTCTATATTATAGTGGTTGCTTGCAGCATTGTTGGGAGTAAAAAAGAATTTAAAAAATATAGATAACTATGCCTAAATTGGTTACTTTTAAAGCTTTTGCCTGTAATTAAAGTCAAAATAAAAATTTATCCAAAAAATTCTTAGTAATGCATAAAGTTTAGTTTATTTATTATTTAATTTTTATAATAATGCAGGATAAAAATATTAAAATGCCATCAGTTGGACAATCAGTAAAGTGGCCGATCCGGATACCGATTCCGATTGTGCAAAAAACGGCCGATAAAGCCGATGCCGATTAATCGGTACATCACTAATATACATACATATATCATATATGTATACATATACATACATATATCATATATGTATATATATCGTATATGTGTATATATCATATACCAGATATGTATATATATATAATATATCATATATGTATATATATCATGTATCATATGTATATATATCATATACCATAATACATATATGGTATTATTAATATAATTATATTATATATGTTTTACATATATTATATGTATATATACATAACAATTAAGAGATTGAAAGAGTTGAGTGAGTTTTATTAAATACATTTTGATTTATGAATTCTTTTCATAAATATTTCATTTTCTAATTATTATTTATTTTTAAATTTGTATAACAACATCTTATATTAGTCATGTAATATGATTTTCATTTTATTCTACTCAAATTTGATATTTATATAGACACATTTATTTATGTGAGGCCATATAAGTTTTAGTATCACTGATTTATTTATTTTCTCTCCATCTAGCTAGCAGTTTTTTGTTTTTATTATTATTTTATAATGATTCAATAATAATGAATCAACTAATTAACAGGGCTATTAGAACAATATTGATTGTGGTAATAAAAATATCTAATAACTTTGTAAATAAGCTTAGGACCTTTACATGCACCTATAGTATGTTTTACATTCAAATCATTTCAAAGTATAACAGATTTGTTACTAAAGAATATTTACAAATGTTACTACTTATGTTGGTCACAATGCAACCATAAAAACCCCACCGTAAAGTATGAAAGATTAGATGCATTATTTTTAAATACAAGTTTAATTTACAAAAGAAATCCACTTTTTAAGTCACACTTTTTTAATTTTTCAAATTGCATTTATCTAAAGTGCATTGATTTTGATTGGAAATAAAATATGTTTTTTGGTAAATTTTTTTCAGTTTCATTACATTAAATATTTGATTACATTAAAATTTTTAATATATTTTTTTAAACGCTTAAATAGATTAAAGCAAAACAAGAAAAAATAAATTGAAACCTTGTAATTGTTAAATTGGTATGGTTTAATAAATTAGCTTTAAAATGTTTTTTTAAAACTATATTATTATGGAATAATTATTTATCATGTTTCTAATGGAAGATAATTTTTAGGAGAGGTCGAATGAGTTATATAGAGCTGGGTTGTTACTAAAGTTCAGTTGTTGATTAAGCAGTGTTAAAAATTTTTTTGGATTAAACTCTGTTATAAATCTTTTATTTTCATTTAATTTTAGATGATCGTACTTTTCTTATTAACATTATTGTTCCTGATACTTGGGATGCTGCTAATGATCCGAATAATAGTTTTTATCAACCATATCTTGTTTATATGGAGGCAGCTGTCTTTGCAATTAATCAAGTCAACTCGAAAACAGATTTTTTATACGGATACAAAATGGCTCTGAATAAGGTTTTGGGTCATGATGTTGCAGATGCGCATCCTCAAGATATTATAACAATTCTTACATTTGACACATTGGTCACTTATTTGTTTGATGTTCCCATAATCATCGGTCCCAACGAAAACTTATACAGTTCCTTTGTGGAAATGGCAGACAGTACGGAAACAGTTATGGTGAGCTATGGAGCAACAACTGTTAGTTTAGAATATGAATCAACAAATATATTTAAAACAGTGCCATCAGATCGGTTCAGAATGCAAGCATTATTAGACCTATTGACTTCTTTGGGGTGGAACTATTTCAATTTAGCAACCTCAGAAGCTATGTATATAGACAATGACACAGAGGTTTTCAATAATTGGGCAAGCAATTCAAATCTATGCATAAGGGAAATTAAAACATTTTTAGAAGATTTTGATACTATGGTGTATAGAAAATATCTTCGAAAAAGTTACGATGATTTAGATGGAATCGCACCTGAAAACGAATATAGAAGTTTTCTTCGAAACTCCTATGAAGATGGAATAAATGGAATTATTGCTTTTACAAATCCGGAAGATTCTCTGTTTTTGTTAAAGGAATTAAGAGCACTAATTATTGAAAAAAATTTAAAGTCAAATCCATTTAAAATAATCTGGTTTTACGGAGCAATTGATTTTTTATATTTTTCACCTCCAATGTCTGATCATGTACATATTTTACATGTAGAATCTATTTCAATTGAGTTAACACACACAGAACATATGGAGTTTAAAAATTTTATGGAGTCTCGTTATCTTATCCCAAACCGGAATCAATCATGGTATTCTGAAAAAAATGCTGTTAAGTATTACGGCAATGTAAGTACAACGTATTATAAAATAGCCAAAAAATATAACTTCATGCAAAAACATTGTCGTATTACTAGATGCTCTGATGTTCCATACAATGTGGAGTGGTTTACAACACGACGACCTTACACAGAAAAAGTTCTTGTAAATTACATGATTCACGCTATTTATGCTAGTGCTATGGCTATCCGTACTTTAATAGAAAAAAAATGTGATACATCACACCTTACTTTTTTCAAATGTGAATATTCTACCGTAAATGTGAGTAATGTTAGGAAAGAATTGTTTAATATTCTTCGTTCAATGTCATATCCAGACAACACTATTTCATCAACTGTGTTTTGGGATAACTATACTAAACCTGAAATAATTAGCTATGACTTTGTATACCACAACCCTACTAAAAGAGCATTTAAGTCTACTAAAGTTGGTGTTTGGTCAATAAATCGCACTAATTCTTATTTCAAGAATGAAGATGTTCTTGGACGATGTAAAAGAAATTTTTTATTTGACCATAGCAAAGTATGGATGGGTTTTAACTTTACTCCAATTTGTAGCAAACCTTGTGATATAGGTTACATAAAGGAACATGCTAATGACAACCTCAAAATCTGCTGCTGGAGTTGTATAAAATGTCCTTTTAATAGCATTGTTATTAACAATACATGTGTAAAGTGCCAGCTAGGCTTAGAAAAAGCAGAACTGAAAACAATGACTTGTTCAAGGTTACCAAAAAAAAAAATCAGTTTTTTTACATTTCCGTGTCATCTAAGTGTGTTAGCTTTATTAATTATACTTGTGTATCCTATGAATATATTTTGTCTTGTCATTGTTCTTCGCTATTTTGATTCAAAAATTTTCAGGAAAAGTCGAAGAGCACTGTGGATTGTTTATCTCATTGGTATTTTTTTCCAAATAACAGCTGCAATTTTATATTTGAACTCAGCAACTTACGTTCTTTGTATTCTCAAAAGTTTTTTTTCTCAAACTGGCTCAAATATATGTTTTTTGACCATTCTTTTAAAATTATGTGTTCGTCTTCCAATTATAACGAAGAAATCAGTAAAACAGTTTGCATTTGCAAGGGAATCACTTGAAAATACATCACAAATTAGCAGACCTCCTAAATCAAATCAAACTAACTGTTTATATCGCATAATATCCAATAAAATATTGCAGGTAATTGTTTTGCTACTATTATCTGTTGTTCCTTTCATTTGTATTCACACGAATATTGGTTATTTCACTGTAGTTGAGGTTGGAGTAGATAATTATACATACTCGACTGACGTCTGTGGATTCACGACACACAGGTTCTACTTTCACATTGTTAATTTAGTGTGCTATTTTTTAATTATTTTGTCAATGGGACTACAGATTCGAAATAAACAATTTTTAGACATGAAGTATAATGAAGGCTGGAGTTTTGTATTAACAACGTCGGTATCATTTTTTATAACTATCATATTTTCTGTGGCTTTCGCTGTAGCTAATTTCAATTATTTTCACGAAGATATAGCTTCCTCATATTTTTATTTACTTAGAAGTTATACATTTCTTGGCTTCATATTTGTCCCGAAGATATGTTATTTTTACAAATATCGGGACCAGATTAGAAAAGAAAATGCAAATAGAATGAAAAAAAAATCAGAACTTATGGAACTAAGGAGTTTTTGACATGTTTACTAAAAAACAATCAAAAATCATTGCTTCGTTAGAGTGTTGATAAGTCGTTCTTTTATTATTTTTACATATAAATACTTTTTGTGATTTCTTGAATAGCCCTATCTATTTCTAAACGAATATCAATTTTCACGGTTACGAATCGACAAAAAGTGATTGATACATTGTTTTTATTATCATTATAATTGGATTAATTATTGTTTCCACGGGGAAAGTAGATGAAAGCAATGGCGTTGCTAACAAATACAATTTTTATTTTTATAAGAAGTTACTTTAAAATTTTTTTGTTGTTGATATTTTTTAAATTTTATTTAAAAACTGAGCTTTATAAACTTTAAAATAAAAATAGATATCTAAATATTATTACAAGCTTGTTAAGGGTTTGATTTGAATTCTTCAGTTGATTTTTGTGTTTTGGTTAAAATATATATATATATATATATATATATATATTTTAATTTTTTTTTATATATAAAAAAGTAAAATTATTGTTCCGTTTGAATTTTTCTTCTTTTTTATTTTTTAGAGATTTTGATTTTGTTTTTTCTTAAACTATCATTTTTCTTCTTTATATTTTGTTATTTTGTCGAGATTTTTTTCTGTTTCTCAGTTTAAAAAAAATTTTCAGAGATTATAATTTGATCTTTCTTAATTTTTTAATATTTTGTTGAGATTTTCTGTTTTTCCATTTTAAAGGAAATCTTCAGAGATAATAATTTGATGTTTCTTGATTTTTTATTATTTTGTTGGAATTTTTTTCTGTTTTTTAGTAATAAAAAACTGTTTTTAGTAAACCTGTTTTTTATTTTATTCATTTTATGAAATCTTAAAAATTTTATAATTCAATAAAATTTAAAGCAAATTAAAAAACATTTAGATGAAATGTAGATTCATTAGTATAATTTAAGTAGATTATCATTCGAGATCTATCAGCAAAGGTAGGATTCGGTATCAAAGGTAGGATTCGGTATCTATTAGCCTCAAATCTGATTGGTTATTATCATTTATCAAAAATATGCTATTGAAAGCACATACTCTTTGAAATAAATGTACTTCGCTGTTGTTCTTAACAGCAAGTTGATTATTTGTGTCTAAGTTATGATTGTGATTGGTACTCATTTGTATCATTTCTCAAGTTCATAAATAAATAAATTTCAATTCTAAAATTCATTCTAAAGTTCATTCAAAATCACGTGCAAACTTTTTTACCACTGCGTGGCGCAGTGTGCCCAGAATGTGGTTTTTAGAATTGAAAATGATTCTGGCATGAGGTATTACTCACATATGGGTAAATACTCAGTTACTCTAATTAAGACTAATAAATTGGGTAATATATTTTTTGGAAAATGATATTATATCATATTCCAAATCAAATATATTTGAGTTCAAAATAGTTTAATATTAAGTACATATATACATAGACATAAGTCTTATTGATTTTATATGATCACAGAAAGCATTTTTGAATTATCATTTTTTCCTTACTAAGGACATTGTTCACATCTACTTTACAGCCTTTTGTGGTATGTCCAAGTTTTCCACATGTTCTACATTGCTAAAGTCTTTTTTTACTGGCTTTTTTTATTTTTATTGGATGTGTTCTTATTATAAGTCTGAAGTAAACGTCATTTGTATATATTTACAATGAAATCTGTCTTGCTTTACACTTTTTCCTGACCTATAAGCTTTTATCAATGATGAACCAATGTAGAATACATACTAGGTCATTGGCATTATATCCTGAACAAATACAATAGTGTCAAAAAGCTCCAGAATCATCTTAACGATAAATTTATCTTTTTTATTTAAAAACCAACCTCACTTATTTCTGTTTTAACAAACGTTTGTAAACCTCTTTCTAAAAAAATAGGCTAAGTTTCATTTAAAATACTCCTTTATAATCGTCATAGTTTCTTTTGCTTTGACTAGAATAACAGCCCTGTCAAATTATTGGGATTGAATTAGTCGAGATTATTTGGTTTTTTGAACTTTTAAATTTTAAGGGACACCAAAAGGAACAAATATAGTTTGTTCCCTTTAAGTCTAAAAACTAATGGCGACAGTTGTGATTTCCAGAACCATGAAGTCCTAACTTACCTTCTATATGTACGGAATATAAACGTAAAAGATAAATTTGGATTTTCTTTTATAAAAAAAAATCAGAAATATAATATCTCTGGGTTTTTTCAAAAAAAAATTCCTTAATATTATCAAGCGGAGACTCGGCAGTATCTTTGATAACAGTGTTCATGGTGGATAAAGTTTTTTTGATTTCTTTTCTCTTTTAGCCTAAAAGAGCTTCCTCCTCTTTTATATCAATCATAGATGATGATGATTGTGCTGCAGGTGGATTCCCAGACAGTTTTTTTTTTTAACTTGTTAATTTAGGTGCCCCAATAAGTTTTAACGGTCTTGTCACAGAGCACCGCGGAAATACATTTACCCCAACTTCCTTTATTTTCATCCCAACTTCCAAGTTTCCAATTCAATTAGAATTTTATTTTTTTATATACAATGAACTCAATGTTTAAAATTAGTAAAAATTCTTCAAATTCTCCTCTTTTATCAATAACATTTTTACACAAGTTATCAAAGGTATTCTTGGATCGTCTGTAAAAAGTAATTTCATAAACACGCAACCTCAAATATCAACATGCATGAACAATCTAAGTTCAACACTAAATTACTCATTTTCCGGGGTAACTGGACTTTAGAATTTTTATACATAAAAGTAGAAAGTTTATATTATATGAAACAATTGAGTTTGTTTGCGGCCTTTTTTCCCCGTAACTTTGTTTTTAATCAAAGAAATATATTTTCACATAATTTAGAATATTTTTTAGGGTCCAAACAAACCTAAACAATTTATTTGTTTAAACTTCAATTTTTATTTTTACTTAAATAATTCATAAGTTCAATATCATTTTTAGATCAGGACAGAAAAAACTTTTTAAATTCATGGAGTTGTATTATATAGCACCTCGAATTTGTTGTTAAAAAACAGTATTGGTACAATTTTAAGATAAACATTTTGCTTCATTTTTTTCTTCAACTTCAAACAGCTATAACAACAAAATGAATGAGGAATTTCAAAATTTTTTTTTGCATTGACCAATACAAAATAAAATATGAAAAGGCACACTGTGCATGGGCCACAGCGCACAGTGGAGTATTTAAGGTCAAAAGTTGATCAAAATTGTTTTATAGCTTTTATTTATTTCATCCTTTGAAATAAGTTTTGCAATGTTTAAATAACAGTATAAAAGTTTTGAAAAATTCCGACTGGAGCTGGTAGAAGACATGGTCTTATCATCCAGCCCCATTGTTACAAATTTAGATATAATCTTGTATAAGATATAATACACATAGAGTTTTACAGTTCCGGGTACCCGAACTCGGCAAGTCCATGGATAAATACCTGGATTCGAAACCCAGTTTAAGACTCGGCGAGTCTCATGATTTGACTGTTCGGCCTTATCTGTACACATCGGCGCGCCGTTGCACTGTATCCCTTTCTTTTTTCAGCTTAAAATTTAAGCTTGAACTTGACCACGGCTTTTTAGATGTTTTGAGAACATTCAATTTTATTTATTTTCCATGTATGTCCGAAACACACTAACCTCATAACTTAAATTTTTTCTAATCAAATTTGTTTATATGCGATTGTTATTTGTTATATGCGATTGTTTTAAAAGCATTTGTTAATATAAAAACTTTTGATTAGTGATTGTCCATAAATTACGTAACGCAAAGTTTCACAAAAAATAAAACAAAAAAAGATCAAAAGTTTTACCTTGCAGAGTCTTAATAAACAATCAAAATAAGAAAATAAATTAAATGAAAATTGCCGCGTAAAAGAGCTTAATATCTTCTACTCCTGTTCTTAAAATATTTTTGCGTTGCGTAATTTATGGATCCCTTAGAAAGATTGAAGTTAATAAGTTAATTCATTTAGCGCGTATTTAAAAAACTTTAAAAAAAAAAACATTTTATTTATTAATTAAATAGTTGATTAATATTTCCATTTTAGGAAAAAAGTAGAATATCATAACTTTAATTTGACATTTTATACAGCGCTATTATGCCGAAGAATTCAAAAGTATGGGACTATTTCGCCCAATGTACTGATTTGAAAAGTGGTAAATGCAATAAGTGTTCAACAATAATATCAAACAAAGATGAAAATACTTCATCAATGATTAAATATTTAAAAGTTAAACATGAAATTTCTTTACCAACACGAGAAAAAATGAGAGAAAATTCCATCAACAACGAATTTAAAACTATGAACACTTTTGTTTCTGTTGCAAGAAAGCCATTAGAAGAAATTGTCGCTAAAATGGCCGTTCTTGATGACATATCAGTTAGAGCGATTACAAAGTCTAGCTTTATTCGTGAAAGTTTTGTAAAACCAAATTATAATCTTCCTAAATGTTATGAGTTTAATTCATAAATTTTATGAAAAAAAGAAGATGGAAATATTAGAACTGTAACAAGAAAATATTAAAGAAGGCCGACGGTTTAGCATTACAGTTGATGAATGGACGAGTATGAAAATTTGTAAATATCTAAACATCAATTTGCATGGAATTGACTCTGAAGTGTTTTTATCTGGGTATAGTAAGAATTTTTAACTCGTGTACAGCTGTACAGTTTGTTGAAAAAGTAAAACAACATTTAAACACATATAATATTAATTTTAAAAAACATATAGTTGGTTTGACCGGCGACGGTGCAAGTGTAATGATAAAATTTGAACGAGAATCTCCTAGTCTCTCAAAATTTTTTTTCGTTTGAATCACAATATACACTTAGCTGTTTGTGAGGTACTATATAAAAAGAAAAATAATAGACTTATTTTTTCTTTTTATATAGTTTATATTATTACTAAACAATTTATACTATTTTATGTTTAGTTTTTTATGGTTTTATATTTTTTTAAAGAATTTATTATCCAATTTTTTTAATTAATTCATCCACTTTGCACAGCTTCTGAAGAATCAAATTATAATACCAATTTTTATTCTAAGTAATGTTTTATTTATTGCAACAGTTTAGACATTTTGTTTAGTAAATTTTTATACATAAAATATTTTGATATTTTAGGCTCAGCATACTCAGGATACTGCTGTTAAATCAGCTTTAAAGCCCCCTGTCACTGTTAAAAACTAATTATGCCAATGTTATTTAAATTATTTTTTTAATTAATGCATTAAGTTTCTACACATTTTTAGAGTACAAAAGAAACAAATATCAAAACATCATCAAGTGTATGTAATGGACACACAAATTCTGCATATGACCTTTTCCTTGACATCTTCCTTAAGCATTATAACAATCATTTTTGAAATTGAAATAAAAACAAAATATCTTAAATGCCCGTGGGTTACAAAAGGAATACGAAAATCTTCACACAAAAATATTATACATAAAACATTTAAAAAATAGAAACTAAGCAAATCATTCTGTATATAAAGAGTATAAAAACTTATTTGAAAAAAGAAATAAAAAATCGAAAAAAATATATTATTCTAAGCAATTTCAAAAAAATAATGGGAACATAAAGAAAACTTGGGAAATTATAAAAGTAAAAAATACTTATTGGTAAAATAAAATACTCAGACATTTTACCCTCTAGAATAACGTAAAACGATATTGAATATATAGACTATTGGTAAAAATAAAATAAACTCAGACATTTTACCCTCCAGTATAACGTAAAACAAAAATGAGTATATAGATAAAAAACATATATCAGAATCATTCAACGATTTCTTTGTAAACACTGGTCCAAACCTTGCGTCAAAAATACAAACATCGGAAAAATCATTTCAAAGTTATTTTAGTGAATTTCATAGTTTATTACCTGATAGTGATCTAAAAGTAGAAGAATTAGAAATAGCAATTAAATCAATTAAAAAGAACAAGGCTACAGGTATTGATAATATTTCTAGTAATGTTCTACTTTAAGTTTTTTCTGTAATAAAAAAGCCTATTTTAAACATCTTTAACTTATCAATTATAACAGGTATTGTTCCTGACAAATTGAAAATAGTAAAAATTTTACATTTATATAAAGCTGGAGATACATCTAATTTAAGTAATTATAGACCAATTTCAATTCATCCTGTATTTTCTAAACTTCTTGAAAGAATAATTTACAACTGAGTCTATAAATATCTAACAGAAAACAAAATTTTAAGTGTCAATCAATACGGAATTCAAACACAACATTCAACCGATCATGCCATCTTAGACCTTGCTAACAACATTAGCACATCTTTCGAAAGTCAGAAATTTGTACTATTGATCTGACAAAGGCATTCGACACAGTAGACCATACAATACTACTGAAAAAAATGGAAAAGTATGGCATTAAAAATCAAACCATAATATGGTTCTCAAACTATCTACATAATAGACAACATTGTGTTATTATGGATCACATTAACAATTCAAAGCAGTTACAAATAAAATGTGGCGCCCCTCAGGGATCTATTTTAGCTCCTCTTCTATTCCTAATCTACATTAACGACCTTTCTGAAGTCTCATCTAAATTAAATTGCATAATTTTTGCAGATGATAGCAATATGTTTTATTCTTCAAATTCTATCAACGACCTCTTTTTAAGCGTAAAATTAAAATTACAAAAACTTAACTCATGGCTCAGAGCTAATAAGTTGTCATTAAATTCAAACAAAACCAAGTAGGGGAGAACGGGGTGAGATGGGACAATCTCCCCCCGTTCTTGGTTTTGTTTACATATATATATAGTCTAATGAGTTGTCATGGGAAATTATTTAAAAACTCATTACTTAACTATCAAATTAAGTTCACGGCCTCGTTTTTTTAATATGACACTGTTTGTCCCATGTCACCCCATGTTGGGGTGAAATGGGACAACGTTTGGGGCGAAATGGGACAAGTTAGAAACAAATAATTATGAGCATTATTTTATTCTGTCTATTCTACTTCTTATATAACTTTACAATACACAACATTTATTTGTGTACAATTAAGATAAGATATTCTAAATGCATTTATAACTTTGTTCAACAAGGTTGCTTGATGTTTAAATATTGCGTTGATGTCTCAAGAGGGAAACTTTTTTGCTTTTTCTTATTTTTATCTTACTTTTTTTTTACATTCTAATAAACTTACAACTAGTTCATTTCTTTTGGTGTGTCAGTCAATACCAAAGACCTAGAACCTTTTCTTTTTGCACTTTTTCTCTTTGTCACCCTCTCACCCGCTTTTGGAAATGACTTTATATCTTCTACTGTCCAATGGTAGACAGAAATGCTTATTTGTTTTTTCTTGTCATTAATAACTTCTGATACAATAGATAGTATTGTAGGGATCGTTTGTATTTGCAAATCAGATAATTTACTTAAATTTAGTTGCAGGGTCTGTCTGATCGTGTACATTAGCTATACTGACAGAAATTGTTTTTTGGACCGGTTGAGAAATACTGCTGGACAAACTGGCTGATAAGTTAGAGATATTTGCTGGAATTGGCTGATCAGATACATAAGAACATAAAAAGTCTACATTACTAAAAACATATGGATCGTACGGGAAAATGCCAGCTGCCTTTAAACCATTTTGAATGTTTTGGAAAAATGCCAGCTGCCTTTTAACCATTTTGAATGTAAAGGCTCTCGCATAAGCTATTCTTAAATTTTCAGAAATGTCATATATCGTCATAGGAGTATTTGGATGTGCCTTTAACCATGAATCACATGCTAAACTGCAAAATTTCTTTAATGGTCCAAATACTGATCTGTCAAGTGGTTGGAGTTTGTGGCTGCAATGGGGTGGCAATGTCAAGAGCACAACATAACTTTCCTTAGCTTTATCCATCAATTCAATTGATATATGACTTTTGTGGTTGTCCATTATTAAAAGTAATAGATGATGCTGGCTAGGATGTCTATACTGCACAAAATGATCAAACCATTTCAAAAATATTTCTGTATTTATCCATCCAGTAGGATTAGCCTCACCTTTGGTACCTGTTGGTGCACCTTTAAATATGTGGCTACGAAAATGGACACGGGGAAATATCAAAAACGGTGGAATAAAATTTCCAAGAGCATTTATACAACCTATCATTGTAACTAGGGTTCCCCTTTCAGCAGAAGTTACCTGTCCTACTTGCTTTACTCCTTTACCCACAACCACCTTCACTGGCTTATGAACAGTTGTAAGAGCTGTTTCATCAATATTGTAAATGCAATCAGCAGAAAACTTATAGCGCTTCTGTACACTGTCAAGGTTTTTGAAGAAAGTATTTACATTGGTGCGATTGAAACTAGTTGTTCTACTAAGGCTGGTAGCTTCTGGTATACGAATAGATAATTTTGTACAATTTAAGAATAAAAAAAAACTATTCAGTTCCAGCTGTTTCACTCTTTTTCCAGTTTTCTGGTATTTTAATGTCATTTTTAATTGCATATTGATATGCAAGTTGCTTCGTTTCTCTAACATTAAGTCCATAATGCATATCAGATGCTTGACGAAGATAAGTTGAAAGCTCATCTTTTTGCGCCTTATTAAAAATATATTTATGATGTTCATCAAAGTATAAGTCATTGTAAGAAGTTTCTTTATTAACATTTATTTTCCGCTGTAAACTTGCATTTTGATTCAACAGCCATCACAGCGGCTTTTATTGTATGAGCATCAGGCTTTAACTGATTCGTCGCTCGTTTGTACTTTCTTGGCATCTGAAAAATATTACACACATTACTTACTCTATTATTCAAAAATTATGCTTTTTTAAAATTGCATGAACCAAAATCCATATTATTAATGAAAATAAATTAGTACCACAACCTTAAAAACTTTTAATGACATTAAATTTAAAAAGGGTAATAGTAAAGACCTTTATTTAAACTGAATTATAAATGCAATGCTAAAAAATATTCTTTATAAAACAATGCTTACAGTGAAAAATGTCTTTAACAACCAAGATAAAGTTTCAAAGAAATTCTATAGAACTATTTTTTTTTCAAAGAAAAAAAACATATTAACATAAAGTAAACATGGAAATCTTGCCATAAACATAAACATAATTTTCTGCTAACTTGTTTTTTTACAAAAATAATTTGCTAATTATATTTCTTCAGTAATTAAATAAGGCAATAATGATCAGTGATATTTTTGTTCGGAAAATAATTTTAGTTTTAGTTTTTATTCAGTTTAGAGGCAAAGTTTTTAGTTCTAGTTCTTATTCAGTTCAGTAAATAAATTTAGTTCTGGTTTTTATTCAGTTCATCTTAAAATAATTTTAGTTTTAGTTTTTATTTAGTTCAATTTTCGTTTGTCGTATAAATTTTTTATCTCATCTAATTATAATTTAGTATAATTTATAAATAATATAGGCATATATAATTAAAAGAAGTAAGTCTTAGTTCTATAAACAAACAAAAAAATGAGAACTTAATTAAATGTAATACACCCAGTCCCATGGCTAGAAGTTTAGAGCCCCGCCCACCGCCCTTAATAAAAAACACAACAACAACCTGTCCTTATTGCTCTAAAACTTAAAAAAATTTCAATTATTACGTATAAAAAAAACTCCTCAAATTTGGTAACAATAAAAACTAATGAATAGTTATTGTATAGACTTTAATAATTACTCATATATTTTACAAATAAAGGGCCTAGTGATTATATGATTATCATCTAGACTAGATGAGAATTTAGTTTTAAGAAAACTTGCATTTTCAATGACGCTGACATTCGATTTCTCTGTCCATTTGTGAGCAAGCCACAGATTGAAAAAAGTCTTTCAACATATGCTTGAGTTGCAGGAGCTGCAATGAGGTCTTCAGCTAATGGTGCAATATGTGGGTAAACAGCACGTCTCATCTTCCAGAAATTTAAAGCATTTTGGCACATGGAGCTGTTCCTTATTTCAATAAAATATTTGTTGAGTTCATTTTGTGCTTCATTACCTGGAATAAGCTTTATTTTTTCTACTCGCTGTTTTGCCGCAAAATTTCCATTTTGTTAATCCATTTATTTCTGGAGCAATCTCAACAGAAAGAGTAGATGCACTTGCTAAAGGTAAATCATGTTGCACCCATTTTTTAGCCTCTGACAAAATGTATTTCTTTGCACACTCTCTGATTTGTGTATGCTCATTACCTAAAAGAACTATTGCACATGTGGGGTCAAGTAGACATGCGGCACATGGCAGTGGATTAAAATTAGGATCGTTTGGCTGCAAAAAAAACGGCAAAACGACGGCGTAGATCTTCAAGCATTTTAACTGCTACATCTTTGGCATCTCCAAATTGCTCAAGGTGACATTCTAAATTAAGTATTGAAGGTATAACACTGGATAGTGAAAGTGCATCCGTCTGAAGAATATCAGTTTAATTGGTAAAAGGTTCTAAAAGATTGACAAAATCCTGAAGCATTATTCATTCGCTATTGGCAAGTGAATCAATGTTAAGGTCTCCAAGCACTTTGTTGATAGATGTCTTTATTTCCAGAAATCTCCGAACCATAAAGTAAGTGCTGTTCCATCTTGTAGAACAGTCGCTGATCACAGTCTTACCACATTTGTTGATAATTTTTTCCAACGCAACAGAGGATTTGCGAGCTTTTCCCACTAATCCACGTACCTTCAAAAGTAAGCCATGATATTTACCATCATATGCAAGTTTTACAACTAACTGTATAACATGTGCAATGCATCCCAATCTTCTAAATGCTACGTCTTCTATTACATCAACTATCAAGTCAACATGTTCCCACTCTTCACTATTTGTCATATTCTCATCGTCTTCCAGATCTGTTATCTGCTCTTCATTAACCTCACTTTCTAATTCAATAAGTATATCACGTTCAGCTTGAGCTTTCATTCTCGACAACTTTATGCCTTTGACCATGTTTGCTCCATTGTCCGAAATAACAAGCAATACTTTTTCTCTGAAAATATTCCAATATTTTAGGCATTTTTCAAAACAATTAGCAATTTGTTCACCTGTATGTGGATGTTTCTCAAGATACAAATTAAGCTGAGCATGTATTGGTTTTTCGGATTTGAAGTGAAAAAAACAAACCGAAATTCCTAAAAAGGACGCAGTAAGACCTTTTTTAGTCCAGCCATCAAGGCATATTGTGAAGCGCCTGCCTTCAGATATGAAGTCACGAAGTTTTCTCGTTAAAACAGTAAATTCTTCATTAAGTAAGCTAGTAATTTTGGCAGAAGCAGGCAATGAAAATTTATAATCCAAGGTATTAACTAACTTTCTAAAACTCGCATTATCCACCAATGTCACTGGATTACATGTTGCAATTATCATTTGAATAAGAGAGTTTAGTCGAATTTTATGCTCGTGTGAATTAATAAGCCATGCGGTAATCCTACGATTAATGCATTGAATCAAGGTCTGGTTCTGATTTGAGGACGATTCTAAAAGAGTGGGTCCATTTTCATCCACTGCTTTTCTCTTTATCCCTGTTTGCTTTTTTTCACTTAATTTCTTTAATTCCGACTCTTCCAGCTCAACGTGTACAGACTTATGGTTTCTTGCTAAATGTAGCTAGAAAAAAATAAACATATTTATATAATTTTTTGTTTGTATATTTATATGTTTATTTATCTATCTGTTTATCAATTAATGTATAAATAAGTTCGTATACGTTATTGAATAATTACTCTAAAATGATAAAAATGAGTCGTTTGTTTCAAAATGAAAACATATCCTCTAACAGATAAACTAACTTTAAGATTTGTTGGGTTCTTTCCACACAACTTTGTATTGCATACTTTTTCACCATCAAGTAAAACTAAACATACTGATTTGTCGGATGACGCATCGTATTTAAACCATTTCCATACTGAACTATTCCTCTTCCTACCAGCAAAAAGTTTCCTCAAACTCATCGCGTAGTTGTGTTGGTCTTACAGTTTGATTTTTTTTAGTTCGAAAAAATATATTCGAATAAATATATTCGAACTATATCATAACTAAACTTATTCGAACTTAATTGAAGAAAATTCAATTAAGTTCGAATAATATATCATTATAATGTATTGTAATATAATAATTATATATATCAAATAATTCAACTCGTTTCAAATCTAGAACGAAAATATTTCTTTTTAAAATAATTTTCGATTCAGTTTTTATTCCGTTCGAAAATTTAAAATTATCGTTTTTATTCTGTTCTCGTTCTTAAAATAAATTTCGTTTTAGTTTTCGTTTTCGTAAACGAAAGGCTTTTTTTTTCGTTCTCGTTTTCGTTCTCGTGTACGAAAATATCACTGATAATGATTAATTAAAAACCATAAACATAAAAATATATGGAAACAAAACTTAAATATTTATCGTTAATGATGTCTTCAAAATCCAGGAAACTTGTTAGATTTTAACATATTCGAAAATAATTTGAATTTTAAAATACTTTTAAAACTCAAAAAACACAATAATATGAAGTACTTATTGTAATCTTATCACATATATAAAAACAAACTGCTTTAACAATTTTTTTGCTGAGAAATCGCTATGTCCCATCTCACCCCATGTCCCATCTCACCCCGTTCTCCCATATATTTTATTTCACCCCACCAATAAAAAAAAATCATTACCATCGACCTTACCTGTTCTCAGCATAAAAAACTCAATTATTGAAAGAACTCATTTAAGTAAATTTCTTGGTGAAAGAACTCATTCATCTAAATTTCTTTTTATCGATGAGAACTTATCTTAGAATTCTCATATAAACGCTATTAATACAAAAATATCTAAAAACATTGGTCTACTTTTTAAAGCAAAACCTTTTCTGTCTTACGATAATTTAAAATTATTTTAATTTTCATTCATTCACTGCTATTCATCATACGCCAATATTGCATGGGCTAGTACCCATAAAAGTAAGCTAATTTCACTACATCGACGACAGAAACATGCTTCTAGAATAATATTTTATAAAGATAAGCTTACTCATGCAAGTCCATTACTTAAACAGATGAATGCTTTAAACATTTTCCAAATCAATATATATTAAAATATATTGTTTATTGTTAAACATAGAATGGGAACCGTCCCAAGTCGATTCAAAAACAACTTTTTTAATACCAATATATAAATAAATTTAGTACAAGAGCAACTGGAAACTATATTGTGCATACGAAAAAACAAAAAATCTCCCAATTTTCGGCAGCTTATCGTGGTCCTTACTTATATAACAAATTAATTCCAAAAAATTCACCAGTATTTCTTGTAGAAAATATTAATTTCTTAAAAACCAAATTAAAAAAACTCATTCTACAAATAAATAATTACATGGAATTACATTCTAATTTATTATGAATAATTAGAAAAATAAATAATTACATGGAAATATTCTAATTTATTATGATTAATTAGAAAAATAATAATGTAAAAAAACAAAAAAAAAAACAATAGGAAAAACTTAAAAAC